GAAGATCTATGAGCAATATGTTTGTTGCTTTACAGCTGAAAAGCAGCCAAAGATAGTTTTATCCGGCCTCACCAGCGAGTACACAGCTACATAAAACGATTAAAGGCACTGCCAAATCCAATATTCCGAAATGTAGCCGTTTAAATACGTTCGCACATTAGTGATAATATACTAGACAAAAACACTGTCAAAAGGTTGTTCCTAAACAACGCCTACACTGAATGTCCTTTGGAAAGCATAACGGATGTAAGTCGTTTCGAACTGTCTCAAAAAACCTTGTTCACAATAAATGTTGTTGGTTTTGCCTCATCTGGACGTTAGCGCAGTTGTTCGCGTCTACTGAAGAAGAACGCGAAGCAATGCCTAAGATCGGCGACCGATACAAGCATCCGCATGAGCGAATAAGCCATAAAGCACCTGAGCAACACGCGTTTGTAGAATAAAAAAACAAAAATCGAAATATCGCCATTCACCGTATCTCCTGGGAGCTGGTTATTAAAATGATAATGAACTGCGTTTCGGGAGTGAAAAGTAGATTCGAATTAATTTAATGGGCCAGTTTTCTCTTTGATAGACGGTGAGCCACTTAACAAAATGCAACCCACAAGCGAACGACGACCATTTCATTAAACTTCCTAAAGAGCGTAGGGTTGCAAAGTCCTTACGATCCATAAGAGCCATCGTCAGCATGGCTACAATTTTACAATACTTTGTAAATGACCTCAGGCTATAACGATATTTCAAATTTCCCATTAGAGGAAGCGAAATACACGCATATAAGAAAACAGAAAATACTGAGATAACATACCAGTTAGGAGAGAAAACGCCAGATAGTTCCGGAACAATACTCGCCATTGGGACAGCAATGTTGTTTGCTAAAATCAAACCACGCTTAACGAGTGCTATATCGGAATTTATGCACAAACTAGAATCGTCAAATAACTAAATAAAATTAAAGCGTAAAGTTAAGTTCGGAAAATAAACGTATCAATCGCTCAATTCCTATCATTCATTCAAATGTG